TCCTAAAGCAAATCTGAAACCTGATAAATTAATGAGAAATATTATTGATTAGTAATGACACAGGTGACCTTTCCCAGATCATATTTGTCTTTTGGTCTCCCATAGCACATGCTTTATTAGAATAATGTATTTAACTTATCAGTCTTCCCTGATAGATTGAAGCCCTGTAAGGACAGGCATCATGGTGTATATCGATCATTATTGTAACCCAAGAACCTAGCGTAGTACTGGTTCATAGTAGAAACATACTTAACAAATATTTGTTAACTAGATGAATGAATGTATAAATGAATGAGTGAGTGAGTAAATGAATGAAAATGGGGCTTTATTTAAAAGGAAGCCTATTCTGGTTATATGTTCTATGGTCAAAGAGGTCAGTAAGGAGGCTCTTAATGGAAGATCAGGTGGGAGGAACTAGGCTACTAGGGGCAGAAGGAATGAAAGGGAGGAAAGGTTGTGAGAAATGGAGGAAATAAAAATAACTAGAATTTAATGACTGATTGATTGGGTGTGGAGAACAAGAGAGAAGGAGAAATTGCTGTCTAAGCTGAGTGGCACAGCAGCATCATTCAAGAGAGAAGGGAATCCTGCTAGGAAGAGATGGCCCAGGAATTAAGGAGGAAATTGTTCAAATATAGTTCAGTTCATTTTCCTTAGTCCTAACCAACTAGCCATCCCAGGCAACTCTGCTGGCTCTACTTAGAGTGAACTAGGCTAGAAAAGCCTTCTGGCTGGGCAAGAAGGTACAATCCAAGTAGCCTTGGCATCTAAAACAGGCAGAAAGGCAAAGTGGATTAGGCAGGTATGACAGCAGAGCTACAGCAGCTGGGAGGTAATCATGAGGCTGTGGGCCCTATAGAAGGGGTTTGGGTGGGGCTGAGCAGTTTGAAGCCACCAGTGACTTAGAATGAAGGCTGGGGGGAACCAGAGACATGCAGAGCTATAGGGATGTGAACCAAGATGAAGTCACTACCAGCGAGCTAGGAAAATACAGCTCATTCTGCTGGTATGATCAGCTAAGCAGAAGAGACCTGCTGCCAAATAGAGGACAGAGAGACTCAAGCAGGAAAGAGACTCAGCTTCAGCAAACACTTACTAAGTGATCCCTTAGTGTATCCCTCATTGTGCTAGATGCTTTATTAAAAAGTTATTTCCATATTTTAATAACCCTTTAAGGGTTACTGAGGCACTAAGATTCCTACTCTTTTGCAAGTGGGGAAACTGAGGCTCAGAGAAATTAAGTAAAATGTCAATGCCACAATGTAGTAAACCAGCTCTCCTTAAGGCAGCCTAGCCAATTTCTAGTCTGCTCCTGCTAGTGCTCAACTTGGTTGGAACAATATTCTGCATGTCTACTACGTTCCAAGAAGAGGGGACCCAAACAGCTGGCTCCTACCCTCATTCTAAGCTTCTTAAAGTTGGAGGGACAGTCCCTCACTTCCCATCATTAAAATCAAAACTATATGAGAGAGTTTAGAGTTAGAAAATATAAAATTTCAGAACATCTATAAACACATTTCCATTGTAATTAATATGGACAACTAATATTTACACCAAGTACTTCATTAACTCCTGATCCTGTGTTAATTCCCAGCACACCATATGTATTAAATATAATGAGGTCCATTTCTATTGATGAAGAAACTTCAGCTCAGAGTGGTTAAGTGACTGCCCTCACTTAGCTTGTAAGTAGCTCTGTCTGACTACAGAGCCTGTATTCTTTCAGCTACACTGGCCCACCTCCTTTAAACAAAGGCCTACATCTGATTGATGAGAATGACCTACGGGAATACTTAAAGACAATGAAGCACTAAGCAATATGGTATTGAGTTTAAGAGCTGGAAGAATTCAGAAAAGGGACAGAGCTTTGGGGCTGAAAAAGAAATATGCTAGAGCTGGAATTGAGCTGGGCCCTGGAGAATGGGTAAAATGTGACCAGAGGGTGTTAATGAAGTGCACAATGTGTTGAATGAAGCAAGAGCAAAGGCGGGGAGGTAGAGTCAGTGTGACTTGTTCCATTGAGAGGAAGGAATGGACTGGGATGAAGAGGAAATGGAAAATGTGAAACAATTTAAAGAGGGCATAAAGTAAAATTTGGTAAGAGAGAGGATGTAAAGGCCAGGGAAGAAAGAGTCAAGAGATTAAAAGCAACATTCTTGACTAGAGAGGGTGGTGTTTGGGCACAGATAGAAAGTACAGTGGAGCCAGATCATGCTCACATTTAACTTATGAAAAGTCAATGGTATGTGCTTAGTGAGTGGCTGAGAGAGGGGAGAGGAGCAACTTAAATATGCAGGCAATTCTGCTCAACGTCCCATCCAGAGAGCCCTGACTCTGGAGCGAGGAGATACTCATTCCAGAATTGGAAGCTGGAGATCTACTATTCCCTCAGCTGGTCTCAGTTCCTATATACCTCTCACAGTATGAACCTTTCACTATGCTGATTGTGATCCTGGTGTTCAAAGCAAAAGGATTTTTTTCATACAATATGACCCCTAAAGGCAACAAACTACATATTCCAGTGTGAAATGAGAAAAAAAAGAAAAAGCTATCATTTACCAACTGGAGAAAACTTTGCAGTTTTTCCCTTACTTACTTTTACTTTAGCCCTGAAGGTGCAACTCCACGGCAATTGACAAGGGAAAGTATCCTTTGGAATGCCTTCAGTTGAGAGTAACAGAAATGAGATGGTTATGAGATGGGCTTCAGGCATGTTCTGATCTAGTGGCTCAATTATGTTACCAATGTCCTTTCTTACTGTATGTCCAATCTGCCTTCCATTGTGCAGCTTTGTCCTAAAGCTGGCCTCCCTTTATAAGATGGCTGCCAGCACTTACCAGTACTACAGGCTTCTTATTACATATCCAGTGAGAGAGAAAGAGCTTCCCTAAACAAGCAGAAAAATTCCTGGGCTTCCTCTGGTTAGATCATCTTCAGTCACATCCCCATTCCTGAACCAATACTAGGAAGATGGGATGAGGTTATGTTGTTTATCATGAATAAATCAAGGCCTCCACTGGCTGTAAGAATCAGGTCATTGTCACCCAAAATGTACATCAAGGAAATCCAGGGTCCTTTTAGAAAGGGGAAAGATCATAGCTGATACTAAAGAGGCAACTGACAATGTTCTTTTCAGAAACCCACAAAGCCAGGAAGATGAGGAGCTTAGTTTAAGGCATGAGCATTTATCCAGCTGACATTTACCAAGTTACTGCTCTGGGCTGGTTACTGTGCAAGGTTTAGAGCCATAGAAATGAGTAAAATATGACCTCTCTCTTTTTTTTTTAATCAAATGGGAAAGACAAACACAAAAACAATGTGATAAGGCATTTGACAGAGAACAGCATAAAGTTCTGAGATGCAGAGAATGGAGCAAATTACTATACCTCAGTCCCCACACTTTTCTAATAAAGGTTTTTTTGGTTTAACTATTGCTGACAGGGACTAGAAACCTCAAGAGATCAAACTGCATGGAGCTGGAAACCTTAGGGCCTCAAGAAATGTTTTGAGCTTTAGGGCCTGAAATGCATTCTCCCACCACACAAAAAAGATACGAGAAACGTCTTCATTGCCTCTTTCTGTTTTACATATTGGGGCTCTGCTAGTCATTATTTATTTGAAGAACGAATTCTCCTGCTAAATGAATGCAAACCACTGTCCTAGCCTACCCACTTCATTTTACCAAGAAGAAAATTAGACTGCATTTAAAAAAAAGAAGAATGGATTTGTCCAAAGTCATACATTTACTAACACTTGAGCCAAGACAAAAATTCAGAGATCCTAACTTCCAGCCCAGTGCTCATTTCATCGACTCACTTTCAGGCTTTAAGAAAGAAAACTGAAGGCCAGTTCATGATAGGCAAATGCCCATTGATGAAAGGATCTGAAGAAATCAGGAGAAATGGAACTAAGGCTGAGAGAGGTAGAAGATGGACTTCAGAAGAAAGGGACTCTCTCCTCCAGCTTCAAGAAGTTTAGAATGAAGTTAGGGGCTGGCTGTTTGAGTTATATTCTTCTGGAATATAACAGAAATGAAGAAATTTTTACTCCAACCAATGTGAGGGCTGGGAGGAATAGGCTAGAAGTTGCCAGGCTGAGCCCAGGAGTGGGCAGGACCGGCATGAACAGATTGGGTATTTTTTACTCTCTTCTCACCCACTATGCCTTATGGCAGGATGAAGAGAACCCTGGAAAAGCAGCCTCAGCTTTTTCCCAGACCAGAGAGAACATGCACAGGGTGGGTGAGGAGTGAAGAATCCCACACTCAGAGAAGATGAAGATGTCGCTGAGTCTGTGAACCCTGACTGAGCCACACCTAGACATTCATGGGAAGAAATCCACTCTGGGATCTGTCTGCTTCATCAAAATCCAGCTCGCAATAAAATCAATAAGTCTAGTTAGCCTATGTGAACGGTCCATCCTAGCCTTCTAAGGCAAACTGTTTCTGCATTCATTTCCTCTGGGCATGGGAATATATATGCAATGACACACACACGTGTCTGAAGGAGCCACTTATCCCTACATCTTTCTCATGGTGTCTTAATTCATGAGCCTATTCTCTGCACTTCAGTAAATTCAGAGAATAGGCTCATGAGTTAAAAACTGAATGTTTTACTTCAGTAAAACCTCTGCCACTGTGAGGCCTTACTGGGGACCTTTCAACAACTCTGCCCAGGCCTAGGGTCTCCTGGGGCCACTGACTTAAAAAAAAACCAGCACCCCACCCTCTGGATGGCAGAGACCAATTGCAATGCCTTCCTTTTCTCTTTGCTTCAGTCTCCCTCCCTTCCTTGTCTTTCTCTCTTCTCCTCATCTCTCCATTTCTCTCTTCTTCCTTCATAGTTCCCCTTCCCTGTCCTAAGCCTTGCTGGGCCTCCAGCTCAACTGGGACACTTGTGGAGTAGGGTCCAGCCCAAAGAAACACAAAGAAAATAAGGGGGCACATCCATTTGCCAGGACCCCTGGCCCACCAGCCTGACTGCCTTCTCTGTCCCACTCAGATCTCCCAGGATGGATGTCACCCGCCTCTTCCTAGCTACCCTGCTGGTCTGCCTGTGCTTCCTCACTGCCTGCAGCCACCTAGCACCTGACGAAAAGCCCAGGGATGAAGGAAGCCTGAGAAGCAACTCCTCCAAGAACCTGTTAGATTTCCCTTCTGTCTCTATTGTGGGTAAGTAGCCTGGCCTGGAGCCCAGTCTCTGGGCTTTGGCCCATGAGAAGGGGCTGCAGGATGTCAAACATGCTCCCCAAACTGATACCAGGATCCATTGCTGTGGGTCACAGCTCCTTTGTGCTCATTCCTCAAAACAATCCTGGTGGAATAAAGTGCTCCTTAACTCATTTGGTATAGGAAAGCCCTGCCTGCCACCAATCTAATATGCAGTTTAGCATGTTAGAGGCTGTGAGAAACCCTAGAGTCAATGCACTTAGTGAATTTGCTTTAAATTAGCACTTCTGAAACCTATTGAATTATAGAACTCCTACCAATGATAAAAAATTTTAGGAAATGTTGCAGAATATAACCAAGTCTGGGATGAACTAATCCTTTCATGCCAGGGTTAAGAATTAAGAATGACTACTCAGGGAAAAATACCTGGCAATGGAGATCTTCTGGTTCAACTTTTAATAATAAGAACATATATACTTATTTTGTGCTAGGCACTGTGAAATGAGTATTGTTTTTAATCCTATTTCATTTCACAGTTAAGGAAATTAAGACTTGGAAAGGTCAAGTAACTATTATATGATTACATAGTTCTTAATTGGCAAAGCCAGAATTCAAACCCAGGTGTTTAACATCAGAACCTAAGCTCAAAGCTAATATCCCTTACTAACCTGCCTCTCATTTGGAAACGAGGATATTGTAGATATATCAGGGAGAGGGCTGGAGCACAATAACATTGATTGATCACCTTCGATGTACCACGCTTTCCACTTTATAAACATATCTCCTTTATCCTCAAGACAACTCTTTGAGGTAGGTACTACAGTCCCTATTTGCAGATGAGAAAACTGAGTCTTAAGGAGGTTAAGTAGGTTGCCCAAGGCCACACAACTGTTATATGCACAACTGTTATATGTCAGATTCAGAATTTACAACTGTTATATGTCAGATTCAGAATTTACATCAGGTATATCTGGCTCCAAATCTCTGAGAAATGGAGAATAGGAATCAGGAAACACAAATCCATCCATGTACAATACACTGAGTCCACTTTCCAGGGCCTTATTGGACTTCCCTTTTGCTTTCCGTCAGAGGACTCTTTGATCTCACTCTCTGGCTCCACATCAGCAGCCAGGCTAACAAGAGTCCGCTGGTCTATGTCTCAAGATGTGGTCTATTCAGCCAACCCTTCGTCCTTCCCCAACCCTGGGTCTTCCCAGCCCCCTCTGCTCCTCCCACTTCACTGCAGCTCAGGGTCCTCAGAAACTGGCTTTGCTCCTTCTGTCTCTTTTTGAAGCACTGAACAAGAAATCCAAGAAGATCAGCAGAAAAGAAGCGGAAAAGAAGAAAAGCTCTTCCAAGGTAGGCCTGGGAGTTCTTATTGTGGGGGTGGGACTGGACTTAAAAGGGAAGGACCCCCAATTTCTGGCTAGGAACTAAATGAAAGATTTTCCAGGCCTACATGCCCAAAAGAAGCTGAACGCTACCAAAAACTTTCCAGGCCTTGAGCTCTGAACCAGACCCCCACCGAAACCCAGGGAGCTGAGGTTTGCTAAGCAAAATAGCTTACCTGCTAAAGAGCATCTTCCTATGCTAACTCACACCCTGACTGAAAGTTTACCATCACTTATTCTTTTGGATGAATGCAGTGTTTCCCAAACCTCAGTCATTTCAGAGCCATTTCCACAACTTTTGCTATACTGAGTTTCACCTATTTAATATATTTGTTTAAAATTAAAACTTAAAAAAAAAGCTATGCTAGAAAACCAGTGTCATTTGCCATTAATAGAAAATAACCATAAAAACATAAAATGAAAATAAAACTTTGTTAGTGAATTCTAGCTGGTTGGTGTTGCTTGACAAAGGCTCTAAATCTGAGGCTTGCTCTCTGTGTTGAAAGGAAGATTAGAAAGTGCTGAGGAGGCATTAAGGATATATTGGCAGCAAACTGAGCCTTTCCAGTTGAAAGAGATTGAAAAAAGAATCCTTTCTCACTAAGTGACTCAGTGTCATTTAATATTCATATACTGCCTAAAATCATATCACCATGGTACAGGTTCCCACACTTTGAGAAATACTAGATTAAGGCATTGTTGAAATGCACACATTATTCCTATTTGCATATCAGATCAACTGTAACCAGAGTAGAGAGTACTGGACTAGGCATTGGGAGGTGAGACCTGGCACTGTGTTATGATAAAGTTCCTTCTCCTCTTTGGGCCTTCTGTAAAGTGAACAAGCAGATCAAGTGATCGACAGAATTGAAAAATCTATTTACATGCAAGGTACTGAGAATACAGTAGTGAACAAGAGAGATATACCTCTGCTCTCATGGAGTTTACATTCTTCTGGGGAAAACAGGAGAACAGGAAGTAATTGGGTAAAATAAATTCAGATGATAAACGCTGTTAAGAAATTAAAGCATGATGATGAGACAGAGGGAAGGGAAGAGTGGTCACGGAAGTTCCCTAGAAGAAAGCAGCGCTTAAAGATTGAGAAACTCAGTAATCTTGAACAGCAATGTCCAATAGAAATGCAATGAGCCATATATATAGTTTTAAATTTTCTAGTAGCCACACACAAAAAAAGGAAAAAGAAATAGGTACAATTAATATTAATTTATTTAACCCAATAGATCCAAAATACTGTATTTTAATATGTAATCAATATAAAAAGTTAGAGATACTTTACACTCTTTTTTTTGTGCTGTCTTTGACTTTTATGCTCTCAATTCCAATGCTAATTTTTCCTACTTAAAATGAAATATAGTCCTGACTAAACAATAAAATTGTGTTTAACAGGAAAAGTAGTTTACAGTACTTCAGTTTAAAATTTATAAACTAATTAAAATTAGATAAAATTTGATACTCAGTTCCTAAATCGCACTAGACACATTTCAAGTTCTCAATAGCCACATATGGCTAGTGGCTGCCTGTATTGGACAGCACAGCAAAGAATGTCCCCAGGAAAGGGAGCAGCAAGCTCAAAGCTCCTGCAGCAGTAACTCATTGTGTTTGGTGCACAGAAGGCAAGCCGGTGGGGCAGTGTGGTAAAGACAGGTGGGAGAGGTGGGCAGGCCAAACCACAGAGGGCCTCAAGGACCAAAGTAAAGTTGATGTTTCATTCTAAGTGCAAAGAGAAGCCACAGCTGCGCTTTAAGCCTGCGTGTAATGTCATCCATAGGTCTTCCGAGAGGTCCCTTTTGTGTACTGGAGGATGGACTGTAAGAGGGCCAGAGCAGCAGTCAGCGAGCGGCCTGGCCCTGGGTAACAGCGGTAGTGAATTAATGGGTGGACTCTGCATCTATTGTGAAGGCAGAACTGACAGGGATTGCGGATACACTGGAAGGGGAAGGCAACAGAAATAGTTTAAAACTATGGAGCTGAATGGAATCCCTAGGGAGAGAAGAGAGCTAGGCCGGAGCCAGTTAGGTTTGATGAGGATAGAGGCAGGTGGGGTATTATTTGAGGAACAGGCAGGACCCGCTATGGTGCCCGGGGGGCATAAGTCCGAGCAGGTAGTGGGCAGCGGGTTCGGATATCTGGTCGGGAACCTTGGACCACAGTCCAAGGAGTTCCCAGGCAGAGATGAGAGAGAGTGGGGCGAACGCGGATGGCTTGGGCAGCCCCAGTGTTTCCTCGCAGAAAAAGGCTCCGACGAAGAAGGTGGCGCAGCCCCGGCCCCTGCTGCCCGCTCCCTGCGTGGCCACCCGCGACAGTTGCAAGCCTCCTGCTCCTGCCTGCGTGCTCAGCCCCACCTGTTGAGCGCTTCCACCTCAAGGTGGCGGGCGGGATGGGGCAGGGATTCCAGGGTTGGGGATCGCCGGACCCAGAGGCCCTTCTGGGGCGGGCGATCTCTAGCAGGTGTAGCTTGCAGGGACAGGGCGTGGGCGTGGCTACTGGCGTTGGGGAGGAACTTTCAGGAGGAGGGGTTTCAAGGAGACGTGGCTTGGGCTGGGCTAAAATCCAAATATATGTAGGCTGCTTGAAGGTGTGTGGCTGTTTCTTTAAAGAATTCGAAAGATCCTTTTCCCTTCACCGCGGAAGTCCCGCAGGCTACGCACATGCTCCCTCCTGGGCCTGGGGAGACCCAGTTACCCCAGCCCTAGGTCTGCACTTCCGGTAAGCGCTTCTCTCGGTCTGGCCGCGGGAGACAATGCTGCCCCCTACTTTAAAGCCTGGGAACACCCGAAGCTGCCTCCAAAACCAAGGAGGCAGAAAGGAGCCATTCCGGAAAGGAGAGGCGCTCCCCCAAACCCGGAAAAAACAAAAAAGGCTGCAACTCCATACACAATCTCACTGGGCTGTCTGTGCTAAGGGATCTGCGAATACAAACTGGGCTGGCTGGTTGTGACTGGACATTGCCGTGGGTCCCTACAGCCAGCTGACTCTGGCCTGAGGATCCTAGAACTCTAGGAAGCTCCCCCCAAAAGGCTAGGCTAATCATCCAATAGAGGACGGTAGACTACTGGAGAGGTCCCAAGACCTCAAAGAATCAAAGGAAAAGCCATACAACAGCCACCAGAAAGAACAGGACCTTGAGGGACGCGAAAAGAACCAGGTCAAAGAAACCAATGGGCAATGTTTTCACAGCAAGGCTATGGGATAAGTCACCTCCAACCACTTCAGTTCTTGCATGGAACCATCCATAATTCAAATTCCCAAGAGAGAGAATCTGATTGACCTGAGTGGTGCTCAGGAAAGGGTGGCCCATCTTGATAGACAGTCCCACAGTCATTTTATAATGTGGGAGGGGTAATTCTCCAATATAAAAACAGATACAGTTGCTGGAGCGCAAAATCTGAACTGGCAACTATGAGAGTGCTAGACTCTGGATTTAGTCTGAAGATACTTTCAGCATCAGAAGTTCTGCAACATAATCTGAAGTCACAGTTTTCTGTTTTTTAGGAGAGGTACTCTTTCTTCAGTTGAATTCTTAAAGGGGAACCTCATTCTATAATACACATTAAAACAGTTTTAAGTTACTATCCTGTTATAATGATGCACATGAAAATATGAAACCAGAGGGAGAAGGGTACAGCTCAAGTGGTAGAGCATATGTTCAGCATACACGGGGTCTGGGGTTCAATCCCCAGTACCTCCATTAAAATAAATAAATAACCTAATTACCCCTCCCCCCAAAAATGAAACCAGAGATTAGAGATTAAGAGTTTCCCTCCTATATCAGCTTCAGCAACCAGCTTGTTTCCATCTTTTGTTTCATTGCACAGAACTGAAAAAAAAAAATCTAATTCACACAGAGAAGTTGTAATAGGATTTTAACAGCTCACCCTGTGATCTCAGAACAGTCTTCTATTAAACAGAAACACCAAGAGGTTTATTTCAAAATCTGGTGCAGGTGGTGTCTGATGTGTTAAAATTTGGCACACAGTATATTTAAACAGGTATGTTTTTATTACATCTCTTAAATGGCTTCAAAGTTTTTAAAAATTGAAGCTTATCGTTCTATAGACGCAATATACTTAAAAACCACTACCCTGACGGGTAGCAAGTCCTCAGGACCTCAAACCTGTTACGGGATTGTGGACCATGGGCCAACCAAATTGGCAATCTTTGGATCCTGATCCTTACTCTAAGTTCCTCCATCTATTTAAACAACCACAGATCTAGCAACTTCACCCAGTCAGGAAATTACCCCCAGCCATACAATAGGAACTTTATAAAGGAATTTAACTCCAAAAGCCAATCCTATGGGTGAAGGAGACAGGATAAAGAAAAGAATTTGATTTTAACTGAATTAGCCAAACCATCTGTAGTAAATTTCAAATTAGTTTAGAATAAACCTATTTCTCCCTTTCTTCTTCCATGCACCAAGTATACTTATCATGAGGTATAGGGTGTGTGTGTTGGGGACTGGAAGTGAGGCAGGAATGTATTTTGTTTTCTCAATAAAATCATCAAAAGTTTATGTTCACTCCAGAAAGGAGTTTTATACTGATGGCTCACAAAGAGACAGTAGCTATTGTCAGCTTTCCCAGCAGGCTATCGGAGTTGTGGAGTCTGGGAGGTGGCACCACCTGATGGTGGTGGTGGTGGTGGTGATGATGATAATGACGATGATGAGGATTGTGCCTTGTTATCTGGGGAGCCCAGCAAATAGCTTCATTCCTTTGTCCCCTGAAGGTTTTCACATCTTTCAGAGCTCCTCTTTAGAATTCCTGGACTCGATGGCTGCATAGACTACCAGAACAATAATGAAAACACAACTACTAGAAAAATTAATATAATGATAATGATGATTAAATAACCTTCCCAAATCACCTAATTTGGTGAGATCATATTTACAAGCTATTGGGTGAGTTGATTCCTCCCCAAATCAAAAAATAGAGCCTTATAACTTTGGGGGAAAGTTTAGTTGGTTTTTTTCCTCCCTCATTATTTATCTCACTATCAATATGGAATTCTGCATAATGTATATATACATGTCAGAGGTTGCAAAAGAAAAGCAATAATGGGGTCTGGGGGGAAGGGAGGGCAGTGCAGCCCCTGAGGAGCTGGGAAATAAACAGAAGAGGGGGACTTGATGAGGGGAAGGGGACACTGAAGGCACTGATGGGCCAAGGGCTACTACCACTTTGGAATCCCAAAGCAGCCTTGGTTTCTGAGCCTTAAATGATCTTGAAATTATTTGATCTCTGTCTTCCAGAGGTCCCCCAGGAAGGCCCAACTGTACTTGAGCACCCCAAGTAATCCTCAGTAATTTCAGCCAAGCCAGACTCATGGAGCCCCCTGCACTGGCTCCAAGATGAGTGCAGAGCCTCTGGAGGGCCCTGAGCCGTTCCCTTCTCCCCAGGATTCCTCTGAGGTTGTTTCCTGGTTTTTGCCAAGGACCCAGGGCTGCTGCTCACAGCTGAAGGCCTGTGTAACTTGTGGTTATCATAATATCATACTAATATGCCTATTGATGGAGCAGCTGCTCAATGCCAGGATGATAACCAGACTCCCAAATTTACTTCTTGAGGTAGATATTAAAGAAAATAAGGAACTGGGACTCAGAGAGGCTAAGTATTATGCCTAGACTTCACATCTCAGTGCTGAGATTCACACCCAGCCCACCTCATTCCAAAGTCTATGCCCTTAATCACCAGGCCACTGAAAGCCAGGCATAGGGGATTCTGTCTGCTAGAGCCAACACCTTGCAGGAGCCTCAGCACCAAGATCTCTTCCTATTTTTTTCCCTAGTACCATCTCTTCTCCACCTCAGCAGGACTCTTGAAATTGCCAGGTACAGCAACCTGTTTAAATGGGTTAAAGGAAAAAAGGGAACTTTGATGTTGTTCACATCACTAAAAAGTCTAGAGGATCTATTTATTTAGTATAAAGCATGGCCGGATCCAGGTCTTCCAGAATGTCTCACTCTGTCTCTCAATTCTGTGTTAGTGTTACCCTCAGGCAGGCTTCCCCTTATGGGGGCAAAGGAGCAGCTCTAAGCTCACATTCCTGCCATAGCTGGCAAACCTACTGAAGAGAGTGCCTTTTCCTCCATTTTCAGGACGGGTGGGTCTCTTTTACAGTTGCCACCTGCTGTGCAACAGGCACAGGAGCAAATCCTACAACACTTGTATGAACTAGCAGAATAGGCATCACCTGGGAACTTGTTAGAACTACAAATTATAGAGCCCCATCTCAGACCTACTAAATCAGAAGCTCTGGGGGTCGGCAGCAATCTGGTTTAACAAGCTCTACAGGTGGTTCTGATCAAGTTTAAGAACCACTGGGTTAGTGGAGATACATATAAGCCAGCAGTTAGTAGAAAAGCAGGCCCAGGTCCCCACGGAGAGACATGCTGAGTCAGGGCATTCTGTTGGACATACCTTGGGTGTATGTTCCCACTCACCTCTCTGTTTCTCTGCCTCATAATAAGGCCAGTACGAGAACAACTGTGAGTGGGGGCAATCAAACTACCAGGGTACTAGGGAGTTAGGTACCAACTGTTTATAGGAGTTGTCAGTAAAAGCCCACCACTGAGTACTTGGGGACTTTTGGGACCCTTAGGAGGTTATAACTGCTCCAGCAGGGAGAGGAAGCCAGCAGACCTGGGGAATCTGGGTCTAAGCACAGCCCCACTGGGTCAAGGGTAAGTTCCTGGGGTCACTGTTGGACAGTTTTCTATATTGTACCATGCCAGATTTCTAGAAGAAACTCCTAAAGTTCTGGGGTTGAGTCTGGACCAACTTGAGCCATGTGCCTTTTTGGAGAGTATATCCATGGGGAACTTACTGAAGCTGACTGACAAGGCCTGATCACAAAAGTACCCCTGGCTGTCTCTATCACTTCAAGATTTTCTAGCCTTGTTCTCTGAGGTAGTCTTGAGTGGGTCTCAGGTAGAAGAATCTGAATTCCTGAGGTTTCCTGAAATCTCTGACCCCAAAAGTAGAGCTGACCCCTGCCTGCTACCTCCTGCAGTTCTCCTGGCATAAACGGGCCCTCACAACCTCTCCTGAGTTTTAGTCCATGCTACCTCAAGCCCTCCAGGCTCCTCATTGCTTTTCGCCAATGGGATTTAAAAAGGGATCCTGGCACCTCTAGCCTAGCAAGGCCCTCCCACCACAGCCTACCATTTGGAGGTGGGCAAGGGGCTTGGTATGCAGGAAAGAGCACTGGCCTGGAGGCAGGCAGAACACCTGAATCTACAGGGTTGCTTTGGATGTCATATAAACCCTTGAGCCTACATTTTCCATATACAAATGCTGGATTTGGCTCTATAGATGTTCTAAGGTCTTTCCAGGTTCTAAGATCCTATGTGTTTTTTCTAAGTGTTGTCTAATTTTCTAAGGATTCTAAATTTCCTGCCGTCAAAATAGCTCCCTCCCGCCCACTGGTGCCTGACACAGCCCTGAAATCTTGATGTAAAACTCTTTATATACATGTTGTATCATTGACCCTTAAAACAAGATAGAGATAGATATTTCTGTCGCTGCCCCACATCACATGGTGAGCTCACAGCAGACTCACGTCTCCTCCCTCCA